CGCAGCCGTAGCACCCCGAGGCGAGGGAGGGGTCAAGGAGGCAGTTGCCAGGGCCACAGGTCACAGGAGGGGCCTGTGCTGTTGCCATGGAGAATTAGACGGGCGCGTGGTGCCAGTGCTGCCAAAGGAGGAACCACAGTCAGCAAAGGGGCCGGCGGGCTCCCTCCCCGCAGCCCTGGCCTCCCAGCCAGCCGAGGGGAGGCAGAGGCCCCAGCACCCGCTCCAGCTGCCACCCCCTCACCAGCCGGGCCCCGAAGATTCAGCCGATGCCGCCGGGCGCGGGGAGGACGCAGGACCCGCCGTTCAGCCTCTGCCCGGGGACCCTGCAGGAGCAGCCAGGGAGCAAGCAGGGTCCGGACCTGCCCCCGGGCAGCCTGCTGGGAAGGTCAGTCCACCCTAGCCCCCAGCCACGGAACAGCTGGCTCCCACACCCTGCTCCTCCGCCCGCCTGGGAAGGAGACGCAAACAAGCGCATGCCACCCAGCCGGGCAAGCCGGCTCCGAGCCGAGCCCGTGTCCCCTCCCCGGCTGCTTCCTGACAATCCGTTCAGGCCGGGCTCCGGGCCAGCAGCTGCATCTCCCGCCCCACCAAGGCCAATGAGCCTTCCAGGAGCAGGCTGCAGCTCGGGCAGAGCAGCCAAAGGGGATGCAGGGATCCAGCCCAGAGAAACGGCTCCGTGGCCGGCCTGAGGCCAGCGCCTGGCAAACGGGGGCACAAGATCCCGCATCCGTCTTAGCTCCCCGTTGGCAGCTGCAGCAGAGGGGTCAAGGCCGGGCTGGGCTAGAGGCTCCTCCCAAGGGGCAGGGGGCGGCGCTGGGAGCCAGTAGCACATACTGCAGCCCCCCTCTCTTCGGAGGAGCTGGGGCTGGGGCTGGCAGGAGAGAAGCCCGGCAGCTTTCAGCCTGGTGCTGCAGCCAGGTGCCACAGGGCCTCCCGGCTGGAGGCTGGGCCATTGCTGCAGCTGGAATGGGAAGTGGCTCCTCGCAGGAGTCAGGAACTCTCTCTGCGTGGGACTGCCCCTGCCCCGCTGACCTCACTGGCCAACTCCCATGGGCTCAGGACAGGGATCCTGCCCCGCCTCTGCCTCCCGGGCCTGACCAGTCCACCGCAGCCCAAGCCAGCACGGGCTCCCCCGCCCGCCCTCACAGATGGACACTGAGGCAAAGCAGGCAGCAGGGGAGGCTGGGAGCTGCCCCCAGGCGGCAGTCTCAGCCAGATGGGGAGGGGAGCAGGAACAGGAAGGACGGGAGACAGGAGGTGAGTTTCCCGGTTGCTCACACCAGGCCCTGCTGGGAGGAAACCCAGGAAGGAGGAAACTGAGGATGCTGCTTAGCAACTGTAGCCCCTTGCCCCCCGTGCGGGAACAGCCCCTGTGCCCCAGCCTGCACACACAGTGCACAGGGCTGCAGCCCTGCCTCCTCCCCCCAGTGCCCCGCTCGCAGCCAGAGGGCCTGTGGCACGAGGAGTACTCGGCTGGGGGGCAGCCCTCGCTCCAGCACCCCGAAGGGCACTGCCCACTTGCTGCAAGCCCTGGAGACTGCCTCTGCCCGTGGAAAGTGGTCTCCGCGGTGCCACGGCCGAAGCCTGCAGTGAGTGGGCAGTGCCCTTCGGGGCGCTGGAGCGAGGACTGCAGCCCGAGCAGAGCCCCCTCCGCTCTTGCCAGGCCAGGCAGCTCGTGCAATGCTCACTGCTCAGAGCGCGTCCCAGCCAAGAACCAGCAGGCAAAGGCTCCTATGGGAGCTGCCCGCGAGGCCACACTGCACGTGCTGGGAAAGCACAGGCAGCACCAAGGCTCTCGCCCTCAGGTCCTTGCACCTGGGCATCTGGGGCAGACCTCAATGTCCGGGGGGGCTTGTCCAGGCTCAGCTGGGAGCGTGTTCAAAGCCACAGCACCACTGCAGCACGGGGATGGGAAGAGAGAAGGAAGGACCCAGATCCAGCCCAGCGCTGCCAGGGCCAGACCGATACCTGCTGGGGGCCCTGGATCAGGAGCTGCCCCGAACCAAGGAAGCTCCCAGCCCTGGGGTCACACCCCAGCTCTCTGCACTCAGCCGTGCACACAAACAACTGCCACACACAGACCTGTCTGACAGCTCCCGCCTGGAGCCCAGCATCTGCTCCACCTTCCACGCAGGCGAGGACCCAGCAGAGCCCTCTCCGCTCTTGCCAGGCCAGGCAGCTCGTGCAATGCTCACTGCTCAGAGCGCGTCCCAGCCAAGAACCAGCAGGCAAAGGCTCCTATGGGAGCTGCCCGCGAGGCCACACTGCACGTGCTGGGAAAGCACAGGCAGCACCAAGGCTCTCGCCCTCAGGTCCTTGCACCTGGGCATCTGGGGCAGACCTCAATGTCCGGGGGGGCTTGTCCAGGCTCAGCTGGGAGCGTGTTCAAAGCCACAGCACCACTGCAGCACGGGGATGGGAAGAGAGAAGGAAGGACCCAGATCCAGCCCAGCGCTGCCAGGGCCAGACCGATACCTGCTGGGGGCCCTGGATCAGGAGCTGCCCCGAACCAAGGAAGCTCCCAGCCCTGGGGTCACACCCCAGCTCTCTGCACTCAGCCGTGCACACAAACAACTGCCACACACAGACCTGTCTGACAGCTCCCGCCTGGAGCCCAGCATCTGCTCCACCTTCCACGCAGGCGAGGAGGAGCCCTGCAGCAGGGCTCTGGCTCCTCAGTCCTCCCTGCCCCACGCCCTGAGGAAGCTGCTGGGACCAGACCCCACAGCCAGCCCCTGCCGGTGTCGGCCAAAGATGATCCCCGGAGCAGCTCAGCTTGCTCCCCAACACCTGTGGCCCGCTGCACCCTCCTCTGCCCTTCCTGAGAAGGGGTCTCTTGGCTGCAGGGGGAGGCACCATGCATTTCCAGGCCTCTCGGCCCTTCAGCCCCCTTCTGCAGCAGCCTCTCCCGGGGGCTCTGCACAGGCCCGCACAGACAGGGCTGTGGGAGACCCTGGGTGGAAAGAAACCCAAGCCGGCTCCAGCGCCCTGGCCACAGCATGCTACTCAAGAGGGGCTGCATCCCAAGGGAAGGTGCCCATCCACCGCGCAGGGCTGCACTGTGGGGGAGGGACAAACCGAGCCAGTCGCACGACACCACAAGCTGTGCTGAGCCAGGCACTGAGGCCGAACGAGGAAGCAGCTCCCCCAAGGCCACGCAGTCAGCCCCCCGGCACCTGCACAGGGACGGCTGGAGCTGGGAAGACGCTGCAGCCAGTGCCGTGCAGTCCGGGATTCACAGCCGCACAGCAGAGTGTGCAGCACGGAGCCGAGTCAAGCAGGGGGGCAAGACGGAGTTTTTGATCATCAGAGTCTGCTTGGATCCCTCCTCCCCAGCTCTTCACTCAGCCACCAGGCCTGCAGCGTGGGCAGCATTGCTGCCAGCTACCTGGAAGGGAACGGCTCAGCCCCAGGAGCTGGGCTTCGTTGGCTCTGCCAGGCTTCCTCTCCATGCCCTTGAGCGGCAGGGGACAGAAAGAACGGCTCAGCCAGGAGCCCGTCCCACCAGGGAGGCCACGCTTATTTTCCAAAACCTGGCCAGAATCTCAGCACTGGCTGGCAACACTAGGCAATGGCCGTGCAGCCCTTCTTACTCCAATGGGAATAGCCAGGGGCCCTCGGACACCCCTACCCCTCAGGGCAAGATGGGCACATCCCCGGGCAGCCACCAGACAGGAGCGCCAGACCATGCCAATGGCCCCTCCTGCTTCTAAGACAGACAGATCTTGTGGGTTATGCCACCCCCAGGGCAGCAAACAGCCCAGCTTGGGAACCCCACCGGAGCACCTCTGCTAACCGCCTGGCCTGTCAGCATCCCAGCTGCGATCCCACAGAGACCCACAGCCCAGCAGTGGCACCAAGACCCTCGGTGTCCCTAGCCCGACTCCCACCTGTCCCATGCTCCCCCTCACCTCGCCATGTGCAGAAACCCACTAGCAGGCTCCGTAACCCCAGCTCCGTGCTGCTCCCGGGCGGGGGTGGGACTCAAACCCACAATCCCAAGCTCCGGAGGCTGATGCCTGAACAGGCGGACGGGAGTGCAGATCACCTGAGCTCTACCGTGAGCGCAGCGCTCCAAAGGCGGGACACACCTGCTGGGGGTGGGGAATCCGGGTAGATGCCAACGTACTGCATGAGCCACGCACCCCCTTGCTGCCCATCCCGTGCCAGGGCCCCATGCAAAGGGGCTGAGGTCAGAGCGGGGCGAAAGGACTGATAATCCCGGCCCCCCCCAGAGAACAGGCAGGTAGGGCTGCAGCAGCTGAAACCCAGCCCCCCTCCTGCGCAAGGGGTCCCCTTTCCTCCAGAGCGGCCCTCCTGGGGCTGCAGGCCCGGCTCAGAGCAGGAGAGGGGACCCCGAGGCCATGTTCTCTGGGTGCCTGAAGCACCTCGTACAGTCAGTTCACCCGGCTCCCCTGGGCCCCTCTTCGCCCCCATCCGTGGGGCTCGCTCGCAGCCGGAGCACGAGGCCACGGGATCTAACCACTGAGCCGGACTGCCGGCAAGCAAGGGAGACCCCAGCCCGCCTTCGAGCGCTCTGCCACGGGGGCTCATTGCAGTCTGAGACCCAGC